GCAGGGGTATGATCATAGCTCACTGTAACCTCAAATTCCTGGGCTTATGCAATCCTCCTGCCTTAACCTCCCAAGTAGCTGGGACTAGAGCTGCATGCCAAGATGTCCAGCTAATTTTTCTGTAGAGACAGTAACTCAATATGCTGCCTAGCCTGGCCTCCAACTCCTGGCTTCAAGTGATCCTCCATCATCTGGGACTCCCAAAGTGCTGGGATTTGTGAGCCAGCACACCCAGCCGTTGATTGATTGATTGATTTATTGTCTCCCTATGTTGCCCAGGCTGGAATACAGTGGCTTTTCATAGATAATGATCATAGGGCGCTACAGCCTCAAATTCTAGGCCTCAAGGGATCTTCCCTCCTTAGCCTTTTGAGTATCTGGGACCACAGGCACACAGCACTGCACCAGACAACATGGGCAATCTTAACTTAATTATCACAATAGGCCTTTAAGATAAATGTATTAGTAACTCCGTTTCATAGAGGAGACTGAGGCAAAAAGACATTGCTCAAGTTCAAATGGTTAGGAAGTAGTAGAGCTGGCATCTGGACCCAAAGCCCTGTATATGTGCATGAGTAAGAATGATTATTAAACATGCCCGTACACAGAACATAAATACAGCTTTGATAACATTAATGAGAAGTTCATCCATTATGTAAAGATGTTCCTTTGGGAAAAAAACTCTTCAGAGCCAGAAAAAGATTTGTTCTTACAATGTCTTTAAGATCGTGGCCAACAGAGCAAGTGAGGATTTTAAAAATAAATGAATAAGGAAAGATGAAAGAACTGTCACAGACTAGAGACTAGGGAGACACAACAACTAAAAGCAATGTTCGATTTGGGATTGGATCCCAAAGAAGAAAAAGATCATTTGTGGAAAAACCGATAAAATTTGAATAAAGTCTGCAATTTGTAGTATTATCTTAATCTTAATTTACTGGTTTTGATCATTGCACTACATTTATATAAATTGGATTTGGAGGGAGCTTGGTGAAGAATACAGTGAAGTCCACTATTATTTTTCTATGTAAAATTTTAAAATAGATATAATTTTTTTTTTTTTTGAGACAGGGTCTTGCTCTGTCTCTTGGGCTAGAGTGCAGTGGAGTCATCATAGCTCACTCAAACTTCTGGGCTCAAGTTATCTTCCTGCCTCAGGGTCCCTAGTAGCTGGGACTACAGACGTGCCCCACCATACCTGGCTAATTATTTTTTTGTAGAGACAGGGTTCTTGATATGTTGCTCAGGCTGGTCTCAAACTCCTCTCCTCAAGCGATCCTCCTGCCTTGGCATCCCAAAATGCTTACAGGTGTGAACCACGGTGCCCAGCTAATTCCAGAACGTTTTAATCACCCCCCAAAAGAAACCTTGTATCCATTAACATTAACTCCCCATTCCTCCTTCCCCCAGCCCCTGATTATCACTAATGTTTCTGTCTGTATGGATTTTCCTATTCGAGACATTTAATATAAATGGAATCATACAATATGTGGCTTCTTGTGTCTAGCATCTTTCACTTAGCATAATGTTTCCAAGGTTCATCCATATTGCAACTTTTTTTTTTTTTGAGACAGAGTCTTGCTTTGTTGCACGGGCTAGAGTGGCGTGGCGTCAGCCTAGCTCACAGCAAACTCAAACTCCTGGGCTCTAGTGCTCCTCCTGTCTCAGCCTCCCAAGTAGCTGGGACTACAGGCATGAGCCACCACACCCAGCTAATTTTTTATTTCTGTTTTTAGTTGACTGGATAATTTTTTTTCTATTTTTAGTGGAGATGGGGTCTAGCTCTTGCTCAGAGCTGGTCTCAAACTCCTGAGCTCAAGCGATCCTCCCGCCTCGGCGGCCTCCCAGAGTGCTGGGATTACAGGTGTGAGCCACCGCGCTGGGCCATATTGCAACTTTTTGTTAGTCTAAAATAATTTCAGGGTGGGTGCAGTAGTTCACACCTGTAGTCCCAGGGATTTAGGAGGCTGAGTTGGGAGGATTTCTTGAGGCTAGGATTTCAAGACCAGCTGGGCAACCTATCTCTACAAAAAAAATGTTTTTAATTAGCTGAAAATCTTTGCTAAATTCAGGCATTTTTGTGCTACCTCTCAACTTTTGCCACATCTACAAACCATGTGTAGTTACTTAACAAATACTTTTCTTTAAATTGATTAACTTTTAAACTTATTTAAAAAGGAAATTTTAATATTAGCAAATACCTCTATAATGCCTACTGAATAGTACTATTAAATTCCAGGCTGTTTTTGAAATACTTTTTTTTTCTTTTTTTTTTTTATAGAGATAGGATCTCACTCTGTCACCCAAGCTGGAGTGCAGTGGGTGACAGAGTGCTTCCTATACTCCCTGGAACTCCAAGGCTTTGGGGAAGCCCTTGGACATGGCTAAACATCTTTGCCTACAGTTCCATTTCTTCTTTGCAGATGGGGCTATGTTTGAATAATGTTCTGTCATTTACAAATAAAGTTTGAAAAACCACACAGCTAGGAGTTTAGCCCAGGTACAGTTCAAGAATGGAGGTGAGAGGATGTCAAGGGTTGGCCGTGGGCAGAATCCAGGAGGAGTTTCTGCAATGACTTGAAGTGGAGAAAGACAGCTTAAGGCCCCGGGCTTAAAAGGATTTGGGGCCAGTGCAGGGGCTCACGCCTGTAATCCCAGCAATTTGGCAGGCAAAGGTGGGAGGATTGCTTGAGGCCAGGAGTTCGAGACCAGCCTGAGCAAGAAGGAGACCCCATCTCTACAAAAAATAGAAAAATTAGCTGGGCATCATGCCTGTAGTCCCAGCTACTTGGGAGGCTGAGGCAGGAGGATAGCTTGACCCCAGGAATTTGAGGCTGCAGTGAGGCAGCCACTATGATGACGCCACTGCACTCTAGCCCGGTGACAGAGCAAGACTGTCTGAAAAAATAATAATGATGAAAATAATAAAAAAAAGGATTTGGCTCCTGGGAAACAAGGGGAGCTGGAAAACAACCAGCATAGGTGTGGCAAGAAAGAGCAGGCTCCAAGAGTTGGGGCTAGCGGTGGAGCCAGCAGCCTTGGCGGGGGAAAGGCAGGGCCTGGGGATGCGAGCAGAGCCAGGGGCCTCGAAGCCAAGGCCAACTAACTGTAAAACCACCCACCTGGTTCCAAGCAGGCAGCACAGGGGCAAAGTTTGTAGTCCAACAGCTCACCTGTCATAAAAGCAGCTTTGTTAAGGATGGGCAAGCCGTCCAGTGGAGGTGGGGCTAGGGGGACAGAAGAGAGTAGTAGAGGCCCTGAATCCAAGGCCCTATGAACTATCTCTTGGGTAGCAGCCACCCATCCATAGAAGAGGGGAGCGTCACTGGGGCTGCCTCCGAGGGCCCCACATGGCCTCAGAATCAGCCGCTGCTCCCTTAACTTACTGTGTGCCAGCCTCTGGGCTAAGCACTTTACTTATGAAGTTAATTGTCTTTTACATGTGAGTAAGAGAAAGCAACTCAAGCCTGGTTAACTTTTTAAAAAGGGGGAGAGGCGCTGAGAAGACACAAGAGTGTCCCTTGATTCCCAGGACAGGAGACAGCTGGCCTCAGGAAAGGTCTGAAGGGGGACTCCAGAGCGACTGGGATTCCCCAGGGACTCACGGGCTCTTCCTATGCATCTGCCTCATTCCTCCCCCTCGGCAGACGGGCTTTCCCCGATACTCAGTCAACAAGGCAGGGAGAAGAGGGCCACCTAAAGTTCCCATATTCTCATGTTACGAGTCCAACCACGGGAAGAAACTAATGCTGGGTCTGTCCTGGCTCCTCAGGGAAAGCATGGCCCATCCTGGGTCAGGTTTCCATTTTGGTTGCAATCACCCGTAGTGAGAGGAGGGGAGCAGGCCACAAACAGAAACTTCACTGCTGGGGCCCTTACTGTGACCCCAAGGAGGAAGAGGGGGCCCTCCATGTGTGTGTGGATTTGAATACAGGTTTGGCTCCAAACGAAGAGGTGGCCCTGCATGTAGAGGGCAGAGGCAGAGAGACTATGTTCACCAAGCCCATTGAGGGACACCAAGACACACACACAACACAAAGTTCCATATGAAAATAAACTTTAATTTGCTAAGGGAACATCACAGCAACCCCTACATATCCTGAACCTAGTTCTCCAAGGACCAGGCAAGCAAGGTCCCCACTGCCCCCTCTGGAAGTGGAAAGTATTTGGCTAGGACAATAACAGAGGGGAGGCCATGCTCAAAGGTGGGCAGGGGGTTGGGCTGACTGCTTTCGGCCCTCGCCGGCGATGGGCCGGCCTCGCTCCTCCCAGATGGTGAGGCCGTCACAGGAGCAGATCTGCTTGGGGTTCTGGAAAAGGCCGGCAGAGCGTGCAATGATGCCACAGGCCAACCTGCAGAAGAACGTGTGGTCAAGAGTAGGTCCCTGTTTGGGCCCGCCTGGCGTTCCGTGTGCACCACAGGCAGTGCACAGCTACCAGGGTCTGCGCCACTCACCTCTCCCCAGAATTCCCCGTGATCTTGGATAAGGGATGGCCGCCTCGGCCCAGGTCATCTTCTCCCTCGTCGATAACCAGGCTGCGGCCAATCACGTCCCACACCTTTCAGGGGAGACAACAGCCTCAGACCGTGGACCCCATTAGGAAGGGTTCCCACCTTCTTTTCCACTTTACCTTCAGCTGCTCATCTTCTATCCTGAAGATGGCACGGCCGTCAGCATCAGCGTGGACATTGCCCAAGTCTCCACGGTGCTGGAATGAGACCCGGTGCGGGGTTAGGGGTTGAGGGAGATGGGTCACACGGGGCAAAGCTGCGATCTTCTGACTTTCCAGTATCTGATGCCTCTTCCCACTTCCCAAAAGTACCAATTTCCTGCTGTGGATACAGTCTGGTAGGCAGTCCAGGACTCAAGGAAGGCAACAGGACACTCCCTCCCTGAAACTGAAATCCTGGGCCGAATGACACTGTGCTGAGAAGAACCAGCAGAAGTGCCCCCTTCCTGTGCAGTCGTCCCCATCGGAGCACACTGCTTCTCCTCTGAGGCTGCTGCCCGCTTGCTTCCCAGCCGCCAGTTAGCGTGGTTCTCCAGCCTCCTGCTGCCTCTGAGAGCCCTTGGATGTCTTTAATTCCCATAGGCTTATGTCGGCCAGGCCTGGCTTCCCCGCCCATCGCAGCCAGCCAGCGTCAGCTCCCGACCCCCAGCCTCCAGGAACAGAGAGAAATATAAGGGGGCAAAGGGCCTATCTTGCCCCCAGAAGCTGGCTCTGCCCACCTTCTCCCTTGAAGGTAATGAAAAATGTCAGACACATTCTGTAGGCATGGTGGGGAATATGTATGGTCACCACTCTCAAGGGACATGTGACATGGTGGGAGCCATATATGGAACAGACTAGTGATGATGAAACACAGGCTGAGTACAACAGTTGGTGTATGTGAGGGTGACAGGACCTTACTGGGGAGCCACAGAAACCCACATCTGTGCAATTAAATTGTTCCCAACCTGACACTCTGGGCAGACACAAGTGCCCATGCCAGCGTGAACTGGTCCCCGTGACCTCGCTGCTCAACAACAAGGCGTTTCACCGTGCGACGGGGCTGACAAGCAGCAGGCAGCACCGGTTCTGCTTTATCTTGTTTTCCAGAGGGACATCTGCTGCTTGCACCTGGCACTTTTTGTTACGCCCTGTGTTGGGGACTTTAATGGTAGAAACAGCCTTGAGGAGTGACTGGGGGCTGAGCTAAAGGAGCAGCCTAGGCAGTGTGGCATGACCCAGAATGGGGTCAGGGAGAGGCAGCCTTTCCGGTCCCTGCCCCCAGCACACAGGCAAGTCCAACTGGGCCAGGGGAGGCCTTGAATGTCACACCAAGAAGCTGGGCCCAGCCTGTACTCTCGGGCACTAGGGTGCCAAGAAGGGCTTCAGGCTGGGCGTGGCCTGGTTACTCCAAGCTTCGAAGCAATCCCTCTAGTACAGCACATGAAGAGGAAGGATTGGAGGGAGAAGGGGAGAGAAGGGAAGGAAGCTTAGGAGACATGCAAGGGACAACCAGCCTTGGAGATCAATTCCCACATTAAATTCTTTTCCATCTGGGAAAACCAGATGCTGAAACTCAAAAGAACTTGCCAGTCGTCATGGCGGCCTTGGACGCTCAGCTCTTGTTCAGTCCCTCCTCATCGATATCAAGGGCTCAGGTGTGACACAGGTGCCTCCCCCAGGTGAGGCATGGAGTGAAGCCACAGGTCACAGGCAGTCTCTTCCCCTTCACAAACGCTCCTTGCCATTTCACGCCCCAGGGTTTTGCCTAGGAAGTTCCCTCAGCTGGGCCTGCCATTCCCACTCTTGCCCTCTCCACCGGCCAGTTCCTGCCAAGCATCTTTCAAGGCTCAATGAGGCAAACAGCCTCTGTGATACACCTCTCTTATTCATGTGCTGGCGTGACTTACCCCCCTGGAGTGTGGGCTGGACCTAGTGTCACTTCCAAGATTCGATTACAAAAAGAATGTGGCTTCAGTCTGGGATACCCTCTCGCTCTCTCAGGCACTTGCTCTGAGAGAAGCCAGCTCATGTAGTGAGCTGCCCAAGGGGGAGGCCCACGTGGCAAAGGACTGATGTCCCTGGCCAACAGCCAGGGAGGACCTGAGGCTGCCAACAGCAACATGAGCAAGCTTGGAAGCAGATCCTCCCCATGTCCAGCCCTGAGAAGACTGCAGCCCTGGGAGAGACTCTGAGCCGCAGGCACCCGGCTAATCTGCAACCAGGTTCCTGCCCCAGAGAAACAGATAATACATGTTTGTTGTTTCAGATCGCTAATTTTGGCATATTTGGTTCTCAGCAATAGATCACTACTAACACACTGAGCACAAGCACGGCCCTGTGCGAAGGACTCGATAGAAACACCTTCCCTACTTCCCAGGGTGGGCAATAAAAACTTCTGACCATTAGAAATGTGACTGCTATCCAAAGTCCAAAAAATCAGTTACATGAATTAAGAAACACCTACCACGATTTCATTTGTTTTGTGGAGGAAGGCTGCAAATTTTTGAGATAGAAAATAAAAACAAAATCCTGAGTTCTGGGAGGACCTAAAGAGAAGTCAGCAGTTTCCCAGGATCAGGAGCCAGAACCTGCCCTGGGGCTGTATCTCCAGGTGCAGAGGGAACACATGCCGCCCGACGGAGGAGAGGACACCAGGTGTGTGGCAGGGCACTAAAAAACATCAAGTCACAGAGAGGAAGGGCGACCCTCTGTTCGCCTCCCAGCCGCTCAGAAGACAGCAAGGAGAAAGCCTCAGCTCAGTGTGAACAGGCCTTGAACGCCTCTCTAACATTTGCTAATCTCCACTCTGACAAAGATAGAGCGGGCTCGGGCTCGGCCACGCCACCCCGACCCGCCCGATCTCGTCTGACGAAGCAGGCAACATCCCGAAACCTTGCAGGCCAGTCTCTGGCAGGACTTTAATAACATTTTTGGGCTTTCATTGATTTATTTTTATAATGATCTTCCTCTTATGGCTAGAAGTACTGGCTTTTCATTCACTTTGCTGATATCAAGTTTCCTTTTAAAAATAAATTTATCTTAATTACATAAAATAATGTCTTCATTTGCTTCAAAATAACAATGGAGAAGGGCCAGGGGTATAGATGAAACATGATTGGCCCATGATTTAAAGTTGGGTGATAGGAACATGGGAGTTCATGACACTAGTTCCTCTATTTTGCAATATGTTGGAAACCTTCCATAATGGATGTAAAAATTAAAAAAAAAAAAACTAAATTTACCTAAGGAAACAAAATGAGTCCATTAAATCAAATGATAGAGTAACTAACAGCACAAGTATTAACAGTACTGAGATGAGGCAAAAAACCCATTAAGGCAGCAAGTGATTCCCTGAAGATAGGAAAACAATCTCCGGTGAAAAATGAAAGTCCAGGACCAGGCGCGAGAGGCAGTGTGACGGACAGCCTTTTCAGTTTGGTAAAACCTTCAATTCCACACCTTTGCCTTCTCCAGCAAGCTTTCTCCCGCTGCCCCTCAGGCTGGAGCAGCTGCTCATTCTGCACTCCCGGGTCCTCCCCACGGCACGGGATTCAGTGATCTCCCCCGCTACGCTGTGCTGTGTTGTACTGGATCCCCTGGCCCTTGACCATAGGAAATGTCAATAAACGTTTCCAAACTAAACAAAACAAAGTGAGGGGACAAGACCCCACCAAAAAGGAATCACACCGTAAGGCCTCGAGAGCTGCCGGCACTGCCTCTGGGACCCTGGGTTCTCTCCCAGCCCAAGCGCGAGCCCAGAACACCACTTACCCGGTCAGAGTCCTGGGGGCCACCATGAGATGCTCCGTCAGGGTTAAAGTGGTCCCCACAGCTAAGAAGGAAAGGTAGCAGGTGGGCAGCAAAGTGGCTTACAGGCCAGGAGGTCCACCCTCTTATCTACATGTGTTTCATTCATTCATTCAACACACAGGCCTACTCTGTGCTGGGCTTTGGGTTGAGACATTGGAAAGAACTGGACATGGGTCCTTTCCTCAATAAGCTTCCAGTCCAGGGGAAACGCAAATGAGTAAGCAGCTAGTTATACCACGACAAATATCATGACATGGGGACTCTTCTTCTCCTGTGTCCAGGAGTCCCCTTCTGTGTCAGAGGCAGTGAGGTGTTACGGGCCGGAGCTTCGAGGTCAGATCTTGATTCAGATCCCAACTCTACCTTTTACCTGCTCCAGGGCCTTTGGCAAGTCATTTTACCTCTCTGAGCCTGTTTCCCCATCTGCAGATTGGGCCTGTGTGCGCCTCACACAGTACTTGTGAGGACCAAGTGTGAAAATGTGAGGCTCAGGATGCTACCAAGGACATTTCAGACAACGTACCTGTTGCAGTTCTGCGTGAGGTCCCCGTACTGATGGACGTGCAGCCCGTGTAGCCCAGGCTCCAGGCCATCAATGGTCCCCTCGATAAGACAGCGCTCAGGGGTCAGCTGTAGGAAGCGCACTACGCCCTGCACGGTGCCAGGCCCCCCTAGAATGGCCACTGCTGCCCCCAAATTATCTGCAAGGTATTAGACACTCAGGCTGGCTCGCCACCTCCCCCAGCCCCTTCATTAGCTCAGAAAGGGCACGGAAAGAGTCTCACAAAACTTTTATGTCTTCCCTAAAGCCACTCCAACCCAGGGCCCAAGAATCCTATGGTTAGATTCGTACCATTTGTGGGCCACCTCCCTCCCAGAGAGGCGGAAGCCAAGGCCATAGCAGTCACTTACGCGATTGGTCGCTGCCCATCCCCTTGAGTACTGCCTGGCGCCCCGTGCCTTCCAGGAGGGCCTGCACCTCCTGGCTGGGCAGAGTGGTCTGCACCAGGACCATCTGGTTCTCCAAGTGCACCTCCACACCCTGGACACCTGGGAGGAGAGAGGGCAGAGGGCAGCAGAGGGCTGTCACCTTGTGCTGGCAGCAGGGAAGAGAGAATCACATGGCGATAGCCCATCCCCATTTCCACCAATTTTCCTGTGGCCGGAGGCGTGCACGGAAGCTGCCTTCTAGTTGTGTCACCTCGAGGAAGCCTCTTAAGCTCTCCACGTCTGTTTCTGTACATATCAAGTGAGGATAATGCTCCCATGCCCCCAAGACTTTTATGAGTGCTAGCTACATGCCAGGCACAGTTTATAACTTTCGAAACATAGATAATTCTTTGAAAAATGTTTTTATAAATGTGGGCTATCCAGGCCAGGCAAGGTGGCTCATGCCTGTAATCCCAACACTTTGGGAGGCTGAGGTAGGAGAATCGCTTGAGGCCAGGAGTTCGAGACTAGCCTGGGCAACATAGTGAGACCCCCATCTATACACAATACAGAAAAAAACCAGAAGCATTATTCACGATAGGCAAAAGGTGAAAACAGCCCAAATGCCCAAGAACTGATGGATGGATAAACAAAACGTGGCATCCATACAATGGAATACTACTCAGCAATGAAAAGGAATGTAGCACTGATACACGCTGCAATGTGGATCTTGGACCTTGAAATGTCATGCTACGTGAAAGCCAGTCACAAAAGACCGCATACATTATACAGTACCATTTATATGAAATGTCCAGAATAGGTAAATCTACAGAGACAGAAAATAGATTAGGGAGTAGAGGTAAGAAAATAGGAGGGTGAAAGCTAATGGCTACAGAATTTCTTTATGAAATGATGAAAACGTAAAATTGACAGTGGAGAGACGGTTGCATAACCCTGTGAATATACTAAAAACAATTGAATTGTATATTTTAAATGGATGAATGTTATGGTATGTAACAACCGAATTGTATACTCTAAACAGGTGAATGTTATGGTATGTGAATTGTATCTCAATAAAGCTATTACACACATTTAAAAAAGGGGAGGGCACTATGACCATCACGGGAGCTAAGATTTACTGGGCACACATTGTTTTTATGTGTTTTACCTGTATTAACTCATGTGATACTCACAGTAACCCTGTGAGTTAGGGACTCTTACCCCTATTTTACAGATGAGAAAACTGAGATTTAAGGAACTTGCTCAAAGTCATGTTGTAATAAGTTGTGGAACTGGAATACATTCCAGGCTGCCAAGCTTCAGAGCCCAAGCACTTAACCCAGACATTCTGCTCACCCTAGGACAGTGGCCGTAGCCCCCAGCTGGGTAAGGACCACACCCCTTGTTTTCCTGTAGTAGCTCCCACTTCCCACGAGTAACTCACACTGCACTGATTATAAGCCTGTTTACTCACTAGGCTGCCAGCTTTGCGAGGGCAGGAGCTCTGCGTCGTTCACAAGGGTCAAGTTCAACAGTCAGTGTATCAAAAAAGAGCCTATGGAGTCCCCATTGCCCTTGAAAGCCCTGAAGTCAGCCCTGTGTACACAAGCCTGCAGGGTGATTCTCACACATGCTCAGGGACAGTCTCATGTAACACACCACAGCATCTGAGGTATGATGTTAAAAATCACTCTGGCTTCTACATGGAAGAACTATTGGAGGGTGGAACAGAGGCAACACCCCCTCTGGAGCCCACAGACAAGGTTCTTATATGGGCCAGGGAGAGGTCGCTTGGATTAGTGTGGAGGCCTGAGTATGCTGTGGACACACAGTAGATGAGACTTCCTGATGGACTGGCCTCAGCATAGGGGGGTTCCTAGACCCTAGGGTCTCCTAAGAACTGATTCTCTTCTCCCTCTTGGGGAGGGCCCCAAGTGGGAAACTCCTTATAACTATGCACCTCCTGCATTCTTGACCTGAGTCTGAACCAAGAAGAAGGCTGCTTCACCAGCTAAGCACCAATTCAGTTCAGCTGGTGAACCTCAACGAGCGGCCAGGCCGGCCCTTGGTTAGCTCAGAGTCCAGTGAGGGAGAAAAGAGAAGACCATGGGGAACTCCACAATGAGTGATAAGGATTCAAGGGGGTCAGCCCCAGGCTGGAAGATTCTCCCACTTCCCCCTGGGAGGAGAGCAAAGCCCTCTTTCCCAAGGCCCCACGCCTCCCGGGAGCCTCCTGAGAGCAACTGTCTCTGTGCATTCTGGGAAACTACAACTTTCCTGTCCAGCCCATCAGAAAGTCAAGCTCATTCCAGCAAACCAGACCAGAAAACACAGAGTCACCAGAAGTCCTTAGCTGGTGCCCATGAGACCTGCTGAGGACTGTACATGTCCCTGGGTCCAACAGAAAGTCCAGCCATCTGCTCTCCCAGCAAGAATGTTTTACAGGAAGTGGAGGGCCCCATATTCTGGGAAAGCTTTGGTCAGAAAACTCCCAGTGGAATGGCTCAGTCTCCATGAGACCCTTACCTCCACCCAAAACACATGGTCTAAGCAAGCCCAGCTTTGAGCTCTGTCGCCTCAAGTCTCCTTCCACTCAGATCACCACCTGTAAGCCCTTCCTCTCATAATCCCCCAAGATTTACTGGGCTCTTATTACATGCCAAAGACTTTTCTAAGGTGCTTTACCCGTATTAACTAATTTACTCTTCATGACAATCCTCCAGGATAGCTTCTATTATCATCCCCATTTAAACACTGAAGAAAACAAAGTCACAAAAAGTAACATGCATGAAGTCAGTGCCATTAAGTGGCACAAAGAGGATTTGGACCCAAACAAGTCTGACCCTAGAGCTCATACCCCTAACCACTATGCACATGGCCACCCTACACAGAGTCCAGTGCTACCACTGTCCCAGTTTCAGAACCCACCTCATCTCATTCCCTCTCAGGACTGCTCTTCCATCGTGTGTTCTGAATGCCACCCAGACGGCGCTTGCATGCTCATTTTTGCCTGAGTGCAGGGACTGTGCCTGATACCCCTGTGAGCCTTCTCCCTACAAAGCCCCCAGGGTCTGGTCCATACCTGCCAAATGACTGGATGAACATTTAACAGAACCAGAGCAAGTCAGTTTCCAGCACCATGCCAGTGGCTCGCTTTCTCAGATCTTTCTGATTATGCCCGGTCATCTCCAGACCAGCTGGCCTTTTAAGAACCAGAAGCTATCTAGGATGGTACAGGGCCAGGACTGCTGTTTGCTTTGTCAAGATCACACTGTTTCCCAAGCAAGAACTGCCTGTTTTCCAGGGCACTCGCTCTGTAGAGGGGGCCACACTCAGCCTAGCTCTTCACTCCCCAGGGCACCTGAGGTTCAGGACAGCAGGACAGGTAGTTAGAGCCAGTAGAGGGCTCTGACAGGGCATACTTGAGAGCTCTAGGCTCCGCCTCTGGGTCTGTGTGTGACTCAGAACATTCCTTCCACCCTCTGGGTTTCAGCACCTGTAAAATGGGAGTCGGGTGGGCTTAAGAGATTTGCCTGGTCCCTCCCAGAGGCCTCTGGACTGTGCAGAAAAGTTTATACGGCTCTTACCTGCCACCCCTTGCAGGGATTTGCGCACCGCGTCCACGCAGCTCTGACAGGTCATCTGCACGGCAAACTCCAGCTGCAAGGGCGGCGGGGATCGGCCGATGAGAGCTGGGGACGAGTCTGGCGTGACCCTGTTTCACCACCTTCCCTATGACCACCCGAAAGGCCTGGGGACACGCCCCATGTGACCCCCCTCTGCAATCTCCTTCTTCATTATCACTCATGATCATTCCGGGATCACCCCGCAACACTCAGGCCGGGGGCCCCGTTACCCTCGCACCCCAGTTTGACCCCGTGGCCCAGGCCCCGCTCCAGGTGCCCGCTCCTTACCCTCTCCCCGAGATAACAATCACCCCAGGGGCCGGGGCTCTCTGCCTGGCCTCCGCCCTCACCGTGCAGAGGGTCCCACGGTCCCCTGAGTCCGAAGCCATGGCGGACACAGTCACCGGTCGAAGGTCGCCACCTCCTCGGGTCCAGAAGCTCCCAACTAGTGCCGCGCCGCCGGGAGGCGGGGCCTTGGAAGCCACCTTTGCCCCGCCTCCCGGTGCGTGCGCACGCAAGGCCCTACTCCCGACGGGGGTGGGGGTCGCGCAGGCGCACTCGGGCCGCCCGGACTCTGGTTGCCTTAGTAACCGTTTGGCGTCCTCGGCGGCGGCCGCGGCCGCAGCCAGCTCTAACATGGAGCGGGAGAAGCCAGAGTCTGAGCTCCAGCGGTTTTACCAGCGGTTGCTGCGTCCGCTGTCGCTCTTTCCGCCCAGGGCGACGCCCCCGGCGCCTCAGAAGCGCCGCCCCCAGGAGGGCCGGATTCTGCAGACCTTCCCTCTCGCGAAGCTGAAGGTGGCGTCGCTGTGCCGCCAGGTGTCCAAGGTGCTGGCCGGCAGCGGGCTGGCAGCGCGGGTGCCTACCGAGGCCCGACGCCGTCTCATCCAGGTCATCCTGGACGAGCTAAAGTGCAGCTGGCAGGAGCCTCCCACCGAACTTAGTCTGAGCTACAGGAACAACGTGAGGCTGCGGCAGAGGCTGGAGTCCTACGTGCTGCTCAGCAGCGAGCAGCTCTTCTTACGCTACCTGCACCTGCTAGTGACCATGTCGACCCCCTCACGGGTCTTCACTGAGTCAGCCACCCTTACCCGGTTGACCGCCAGCCTCGCCACGGACTGCACACTTTTCCTCACCAGTCCCGACGTCTACCGTTGCCTGCTCGCCGACTTCCTGGCCGTGCTGAAGGTAGAGCAGGCCCACGCTGGCATGGATAAGCTGCGTCCCGTCTGCCCCACTGGGGTTTCCAAGCTGTGCCCAATCCCCTGGCCTCACAGCACTGGCTTCGCCCAAGTGCCATGCTCTAGCCTCAACCTGAACTACCTCATTCAACTCAGCCGCCCGCCAGAGTTTCTCAGCGAGCCCAGACTGGATCCAGTGAAGGAATTGGAGTCCATCCCTCAGCTGAAGAGGAGAAAGCCTCTCCGCTGGCTGCCCTCCATAGGAAAGAAGAGAGAAATCGACATTAGTGCATCACAGATTGTGTCACCGCCCAGCTTCTCTGTGACTCCCACCAGTGGGGCTTCCCTTTTCCCCACTTCACCTCTCAACTCCCAGCTCCGGAGAGGCCAGTCCATGCCCTCTCTGCGTGAGGGCTGGAAGCTGGCAGATGAGTTGGGCCTTCCTCCACTCCCACGTCGTCCCTTAACCCCTCTGGTCTTGGTTGCAGAGAGCAAACCAGAGCTGGCTGGGGACACTGTGGCTGAGGATCTGAAGCAGTTGATGAAGATCATGAAACTAGAGCGGACGCAACACCCACCACTGGACTCAGGCCTGCCCCCTCTCCTGGGGGTTGTGACCCACCACCCAGCGGCAGGGCATCGCATGGAGGAGCTGCAGAGGATGTTGAAGAACCTCCAGGAAGAAGAAGCCTCTGGAAAGTGGGACCTCCAACCCCCCAAATCCCCCCCACTTCAACCACAGCCATTGACCATTACTTTGAAGCTAAGAAATGAGGTTGTGGTCCAGGCAGCTGCTGTCCGAGTCTCTGATAGAAAGTTCTTGGATTCTTTCCATGTTGAGGGGGCTGGAGTCCTGTACAACCACCTGGCTGATGAACTGGACCCCAAAGTCATCGAAGAAATGGATGTTGATCAGTTTATTGGCAGTAATATCAGGGAGGTCTACAAGGAGTTGATGAGCCGTGTCTCTACTGACCACTTCCATTTTGACCAGGGGCCCCTGGTTGAGAATGCAGCAAATAAAGACTGGTCGGCCTTCCTGTCCTCAGCCTTTCTACGTCAAGGAAAACAGTCTCGAATCATCAACCCTGAGCTGGCTGGTCTTTACTCCCAGAGAGCAGATGCTTTACAGTCCAACCCTGAGAGGGTGCCCTCCGTCACATTACCCCAAGCTAGCAAAGGCTGGGAGAGGCGGTCAAACAAGGCCTCATGGATAAACTGGTGGAAAACCACCTTATCTGTGGATGACTACTTCAAGTACCTCACCAATCACGAGACAGATTTCCTCCATGTCATCTTCCAAATGTATGAAGAAGAAGTTCCTGTGGAGATAGTGGCCCCTGTCAAAGAGTCCCTAGAGATTCAGCACCCTCCCCCCTTGCTAGAATGTGAAGAGCCAGACTTTGTGCCAGGAGAGTGGGACTGGAACACGGTGCTGGAGCACAGGCTAGGAGCCTGGGAGACCAATCTCCTGGGAGAACCCCACAAAATCCTGAGCTTACAGAAGCGTCTGGAACGTCTGTGGTCTATGCTTGAGGTCCCTGACAAGGACCGGCTGGACATGGCCATCAAGTATAGCTCCAATGCCCGTCTGAGACAACTGCCCTCGTTGGTGAGTGCCTGGGAGCAGGCCCTGAAGCCCATTCAGCTGCGGGAGATGTTGCTGGGGAGACTGGAGTGGTTTGAGCGACAAGCCTCCAACCCCAACCGTTTCTTCCAAAAGACTTACTTGGGCCTGAGTCAGCCCCTGGAAGAGAATCACGTCCGAAGCCATCTTCACAGGAAGCTCAATCTAGTGGAATCTTCTTTGGCTTCCCTCCTGAAAGAGATTGAGTTAATTTTTGGAGAGCCAGTGACCTTCAAAGGGCGGCGCTACCTGGATAAAATGAAGCACGACAAAGTGGAGATGCTCTACTGGCTGCAACAACAGCGGCGAGTTCGCCACCTGCTCCGGGCCCAGAAGGCTTCCCACCATTCAGCCCTGCTCCGGAGGCTCAGCAGCCAGTCTTTAATTGCTCCCGGGAATACTCCCATTATGCTCTGACCAGCCCAAGTGCCTTCAGATTCCTCCCTCACTCCCAGACACCCCACTCACCCAGACCTCTTGACTACTGCGGAAGAAGAAATACGGGTGTCTATATCTGGAAGTACAGGGTTCCAGAACATTGTGCTCCAAACTACGAAGGGACTGAGATTAAAACTTTGTTTTAACAGTGAAAGTCATAAAAGAATCCCCAAGCCCAGTATTCCCATTTATGTCAACACTGGCATAATACAAGCAAAATCTCATCTATGAAAAGAACTGCGACCTTGGAGTTCATTGTGACGGGAAAGGTCAGACGGGCAAATCATGGTCTTTGGAACAACTCAGTTTAGCATTCCTGTCACACTGAGTGAAATTGGCTGACAAGAGCCCCTGATCAAGAGGCTCTATGGCATCATGCTAAAGAGCTAGGGCTCCAGAGTTAGCAGGTGTGGGTTTAAATCCCGGCCGTGTAGCCTTGGGCCAGTTACCTAACTTCTCTGCACCTGGATCATCATATGTCAGATGAAGGGGTGTGGTCTAGGTTTTCACTTCTTCCAGTTCTAGCACACTATTGGTATGGCTAAAATTAATTAAAATTTCACCAGTTAACAAGCACCTGGTAGAGAGGTATGTACCGAAAAGTAAGTCTCCTACCCATACCTATCTCCAATATCTCAGTTCCCCTCCCTGGGGTTAATAACTGTTACCAGCTTCTTGTATATCTTTCTATCTAGCAAACATTTATTGAGCACCTACTAGGCATTAGGTGCTTGGTCTATATCAATGAACAAAACAAAGATCCCTACCCTTTGTAGAGTTTGCATTCTACTACGGGGAAACAGGCAATAACCACAAACATAGTACCTAAGCACAGCGAATAATAGAATGTTAGAGGTGATGAGTACTGTGGAAAAAGAAAAAGTAATATCGGGTAAGGGAAAAGCGAGGGTAAAGGATGTAGTTTTAATTAGAGTGGTCAGTGTAGACCTCATTGAGAAGGTAAAGATATGAGTAAAGGCTTTAAGGAGATGAAAAAGGGAGCCCCATGGACACCTGGGAGGAGAACTTTCCTGACAGCCGTTGTAAAGCCCTAAGGCAGGCAGGTGCCTGGTATTCCGGGAGCAGCGAGGTGGCCGGTGTGGGTGGAGTGAAGGGAGGGGGAAAGATGAGTAAGAGGGGTCATGACAAGGTGCCAAGAAGCAAGTTAGATTATGTAAGTCCTTGTAGGCCATTGTGGGAACTATTTCAGAGATAGCCTATGCATGCATATTTGTATATATTATCTATTCATATATTTATAACCACACCAATGGTAGCACACTCTACTCCCATTTTGCCCTCTTTTTTCACCTAATATGCTTAGGACTCATTCCGTATCAGTACACATATAGCCACCTTATTCTTTTTGACAGCTACATCGTATCCCACTTTGTATATTTATATTTTATTTAACTAGTTCTGTGTTATTGGACATTTACAAACAAAAATAATGCTCTAAAAATCATCTTTTTCATCTATTTAGCATGTGCAACTATATCTATAGTTTAAGTTCCTTGAGGTAGAATTACATCTGAGTATAAGGGTTTGTAATTTTGATAGACATTCCCATTACCCTCCACAAAGGTTGTAACAGTTTGCATTCTCATCAACATGGCAGGAGTGGTACAGCTCTTTTAGAATTTGTCTAGCAGGTTTGCTGGTCCTCACTGGAAGACCCAATTTAAAAAAAAAAGCATTGTATGAGTGTACCTCTTCCACCACTCCCACCTATATGGTATGTTATCAAATTTTAAAATCTTTGTCTATCTAGTAGTTGTGTTTGTTTACTTGTGTTTTCATTTCTCTTATGCATGAAGTTGCATCTTTCATATATTTAAAAATTATTTGTGTTTCCTTTGCTGTAAAATACCCACACCCCTTGTCCACTTTTTGTTTTTTGACTGTTTTATTAAATATTTTGATTTGTCAGAGCTCTTTATATATTCAGGAAACTTAGTTAACACATTAGCAGCTAACACTTATTAAGTTCTTACCTTGTGCAGAACATTTTCCCTTCATGATTTCTTAGACACCTCACAACCACCTTGTGAAGGCTCTCCATTTTACAGCTGACAAGATGAAAGCTCAAAAAGGTATTAATAAAAATAACTTACCCAGGGTCATAAAGACAGTAAATGGGAGAGCCAGGACCCAAGCAGGGTCTGTCTGACCCTGAAGCCTGCATGTGTCTTCTTTGTGTACTAATTCTG